GTGTTAGGGGGGTGAGCGCTGGGGGGGGGCGCTGCGTGCGCAAAGGCACGGAGTTGGGCGGCGCGCGCGTTCGAGGAAAGGCGAGGAACCGTGACGAGCCCTCCTAGGAGCGAGGGACAGGAGGACCAACCTCTAACCGACTCAGCGAAGCGCCTGCCTCGGTCCACCCGGTGCATCTCGGTAGAGTGCCGCCTTCTGAGGCCCCCCATTTTGCAGAAAGGGAAACTGAGGCATGGTGTGAACTCAGCTAAGAGTTGAGGCAGCCCCCCACTTCTGCAGGTTCCCCCTGAGTGGTGCTCAGGGCCCTTGTTGGACTGTTAGGGGGGCTCTGGAGCAGCCTGCCCCTCAAAAGCCACTTTGAGGGAGGGGCAAGTCTGGTGGAGTGGGGTGACTCTGGACCAGTCCCCGAGACTGCAGCAGGTGCTTGGAACCTGAGGCTCAAAGCTTGCAGGTGGCGGCAAACTTCACCTTCAAACTCTGAGACACCTTGACCTGTTGGGGCGTGGCCCCAGGGTGGAGCTGGGCCTGCACGTGCCCGCCCAGGCCCTTCTCCAGCTTCGGGCTTGCAGACCTCACTCATCACTCCTCATCAGCCTGTGCGATGAGGATGAGCACACTGGCCCCAACTCATCTCCTGCGTCCCCTGTGATTTTGGAATTCCCCCAACCACCCTGGTAATGAACGCAACTAAAGTTATACCTGCTACTTTACATGTATAACTGTATATGTATGTAATATATATGCCAACGGAGTCTAACCGTGCACCACGTGAGCAGCCCTCGCTGGCTATGTAGACCAGGCTGGGCTTGAACCCACAGAGCTCTGCCTGCCTCTGCCTCCTGAGTGCCGGAATTAAAAAGCATGTGCTGCCACGCCTGGCAAAATATTTTTAACTGATTTTGTTGTGTGTTGTATGTGTGCGCCTGCGCATCATATGGGGCGGGGCTACGGCAGCTCATGCATCCAGGTCAGAGGACAACTGACCGGAGTCGGTTCTCTCCTTCGACCTTTATGTGGATTCTGGGTATCCAATTTAGGGTGCCACTGTTTTGCAAGCGCCTTTTTACCTACTGAGCCATGCTGCCGGCCCCTAAAATACTGTTCTTAGTATTATTTATTTATTGGGTTTTCGAGACAGGGTTTCTCTGTGTAGCTTTGGAGCCTGTTCCTGAGCTTGCTGTCTAGACCTGGCTGGCTTCTAGCTAACAGAGATCCGCCTGCTTCTGCCTCTCCTGTGCTGGATTAAAGGCTGCACCACCCGTGCCTGGCTTTTTTTTTAATAGAATCTTTAAATACAAATAACAAAATCTTCTGGTCCCATTTATGGCAAGGATATATTTAGCCTAGGGTCCAGATGGCGAGCATAATGAACGGCCTCCGAGGACCCACATGCCGCATCTCTGGGGTCTTGAACCACATCAGACTGGCTTCGCAGGGCGTGCGTGCCCCCTGCTGGGAGCCAGTGGAACTATGCCCAACGTAGGACTCAGCTTGAAGTGGGATCTCCATCAAGTTTTGAGTGGCCGCCAGGTGGTGCCATTGCACCTAAAAAGCCAGTTTCCCAAGTTAGCTTTGGAGAAACTGAGTTATTTTTCTCCTGCATAGCCTTTTCTGCTCAGGGTGTCAACTTATAGCCCTTAATGGCCTTGGAACTCATGATCCTTCTGTTTATGATGGAGTTAAAATTACACGGTTATATCATTTTCTTATTTTTCAGTTTTAAAAATGGTTTCTTTGGGGCTGGAGAGATGGCTCAGAGGTTAAGAGCACCGACTATTCTTCCAGAGGTCCTGAGTTCAATTCCCAGCAACTGCTTGGTAGCTCACAACCATCCATTATGAGATCCGGTGCCCTCTTCTGGTGTGCAGATATACATGGAAGCAGAATGTTGTATACATAATAAATAAGTATAATCTTTAAAAAAAAAATGGTTTCTTTGTGTAACCCAGGCCATCTTGGAACTCACTCTGTAGATCAGACTGGCCTCTAACTCAAAAAAATTCTACCTGCCTCTGTCTCCTAAGTAATGGGACTAAAGGTGTACACCACTACTGCTCTGCTCATTTTCCAATTTTTAGATACTGGGGGTGGAATCCATGCTGGATGAGTGCTCTACCTCTGGCCATGCCCCAACCCTCACTGGGAAGGATTTTAGGTCTTTGGGCCCGGAGTGAGCCATATGTCCGACTCCCCTGCACTTCTCCTTCCAGGATCTCTAGCTGGTCAGTAGTTGTGCAAGCCTTTATCCCAGCAGACCAGAGGCAGACTGATCTCAGAGTTCAAAGCCAGCCTCCTCTACAGAGCAAGTTCCAGAAGAGCCAGGGCTACACTGAGATATCTTGCCTAGAAAAGCAACAAACAAATAGATCCAGGGTCTTACTGTGTGGCCCTGGCTCGCCTAGAACTCACATAAGTCCACCTACTGCAGCATCTAAGGTTCATTTCTCTTTGTTGAGGGGGCTGGTTCCCTACAGAATATTACATCTGAGGCTTTGACTTTTCCTCCATGTGTGTTTTGGCTTTTGGAGACAGGGTTTCTCTGTGTAGTCCTCCCTGTTCTGGAATTCACTCTGTAGACCAGGCTGGTCCTGAACCTATAAAGTTCTGCCTGCCTCTGCCTACTGAGTGCTGGGTTTAAAGGTGTGCACCACCACCTCTGTGAATGTGCAGATTTGTGACCTTCCCATAACCACCCCCCAGACCTCCTTCCCAACAGGTGGCAGTACACAGACCCCTCAGGGACAGATTAATTTCAGAATAGATTTGTCATTTGGCAGTGGCTATCTGGATGTGGTAAGAATGGAAGCTGGGGTCTGGCTGGAGGAAGTGTGTTTGGGGGGCATGAGACAGTCTTTTTTTGGTTTTTGGAGACAGGGTTTCTCTGTGTAGCTTTGGAGCCTATCCTGGCACTGGATCTGTAGCCCAAGCTGGTCTTGAACTCACAGAGATCCATCTGCCTTTGCCTCCCAAGTGCTGGGATTAAAGGCGTGCGCCACCAACGCCTGGCATATGAGACAGTCCTTACCCCTTGCTACCTTCTGCTTCCTAGCCACCCTGTGAGTAACTATGTTCAGTTTCATTCTCTTCCCATGGTACTGAGCATACCAGGACCTGGTTGAGCCAAAATGACCTTTTCTTCTTCAAACTGTTGCCCCCTGGGTCACAGCGCTCAGGAGTTAGGAAGATCTCTGAGTTCTTCCGGGCCAGTCAGGGCTACACAGTAGGACATGCTCTCAGAACTAGCACCATAAGATGGAGCTGAGAAACTGCTCAGCAGTTAAGAGCACTGGCTGCTCTCAAAGAGGACCCAGGTTCCATTCTTGAACTCAGATCTGCCTACCTCTGCCTCCCCAAGTGCTGGGGTTAAAGGTTTGCACCACCACACAGGGTCCTGCTTTGTGCTTCTGATCTAGGGTCTCATCAAGCCAGGCTAGCCTGGAACACTGTGTGGCTGAGGATGACCTTGGATTCCAGTCCTTCTGTGGTATGACAATCCTGGTGTACCACAACCAGATGTGTGCTGGATTTGCTGGATTTTTGTTTTCAAATGTAAATATCATAAGAAGTACATATAATCTTACAACCTTTACTTTTTCCTAATGTTAGGACCTTGTCTCAAAATAGAAAAAGTTGGGCTTGGTGGCTTAGGCCCCAAGGTCATTGCCGGAGGCTCAGGGTCAGCCTCAGCTGCATTGAGTTAGAGCCAGTTTGGGCTACATGAGACCCTGTTAAGAGCAACAAGGGGGGGGGCATTTAGCTCAGTGGTCCAGCACTTGCCTAGTAAGCACGAAATTCTGAAGTAGATGAAGAAAGTGGGGGCATTGATCTTCAAACGCTGAAGAATACAAAGAATTACGACTACAGCAAAAACTACGGCCCACGGGTGCTGAAGGAGAAGGTGGTTTACACTGGTTACCCGGGACACTAAGCCATTAACAACTAACTGATTATTCAGTAGGGCATGGGTTGGCTCAGAGCTGAGTAGAGTGTTCACGCACTGCAGGGTTCCCAGGCTCACTGGCCTTGTGTGCGGCCAGGCTGTGCATCGTGGTGTGAGTTGGGGCTCGGTCTGAGAGTGCAGACCCGTGGGGTCGGCGCTGACGTCGTGGGCCGCAAGGGCACACGTGGCAGAAAGCCTGTCTGAAGTGTGAGCCCAGGAAGGCATAGAGCAGCGGATTGAGTGCCGAGTTGCTGTAGGACATGCAGTGAGCCCAGATCTTCAGCGCGTAGGCGGCGTAGCTGCGAGGGTGCCAGGCCCCTGCGGGGCCCAGGGCTTGGAGCACCAGGAACAGCTGGATTGGGCCCCAGCAGGCGGCGAACAGTAGGACTACAGCGGCCACCAGCCGGGAGACCTTGGTACGCACTGCTCCAGCTCGCTGTGCCAGCAGCTGTCCCTAGAGACCCAGGGGTGTTAACAGGAAGGGACAGGCCCCCCTCCCACATCCCTTCAGGGTCCTCC